GATAAACATATCATTAACGGTCCAGGCGATCTTTGGTTTGGGATAACCTGTTGCAGAACACATGATGGAGACCTCAGATCCTCCTGTGAAAGACTGATTCTTGGGCATCACAGTGACTTTGGGTGGTTCTGCAAATAAAAGTATATGTATGTAGAAAAAATGCCAATTTATCTTGATGTTAGAAGCTTCCTATGTTAGCAGATTTGTAGGTTTTTCACCACCACACCTTTATTGCCTTCCTCTATGGATGACCCACATCATAGATATGTCAGGAAAGAAACCAGTGGTAATGAAAACAAGGGAAGTAAACTCTCTTTGAAAGTTAAATGAATTTGATCCCGATGTTATATTGTTGTGTTTCCACTGGTTACCATGAAGCCCCTTGCTGGCTTGCTTCCCCTAGCCAACCTACAGTTTGTGCCACTAATCTGATACTTCTCTATGAACCTGTTCCAAGGCAAAGTCTCTAGATAGAACTTTTGGCTCTTTCTAGACAACGAATGTAGGATTGGAGCCACAGCTTGTCCTGACTATGCTGTCTGCTTTGTTCAACTTGATCTTTCTATTTTTATTTATTTGATCATAACTTTGTTAAGGTCAGAAACCATGTACTCACATTATTCCATATTCTATTACATTCTATAGCATTTAACATCCCTTGTATATCATGCAGTGGCTTGTATATAAAAGACACTTAAAACTTTTGATGGAATGCAGTTTCATCAACTGTAACCTGGCTCTGAATTGTAATCTCTGCCAGTCCCTCCCAAGATCCTGCTACACTGGTCATTTGACTCATGTCCGTGCATCCACAGGACCTCAACTTAACAAAAAATATCAGTTATTCAAACTTTCTGTTTCATTACACTTCTATGACAGGAAAAAGACTTTTGAAAATGAAACACTAAATCAGGAATTTATCATCAAAAAGAAAACAATTCTCTGAGATAATTCTGGGATGTTGATATATTTGTCTTAATAGATTACATGTTTTACATCTATGTTGCTACACAATAAGAATTAATCTTCAAAGAAGGTACCATCAAAGAGATATTAAGTAACTCCTAATGTAAATATCCACCACTCAATAAGGTAAACAAAAGTAAATTAATTTCCAGTGTTTGAAACAGTCAGATTTCATGAGTATTAACAGAAATAAATAAATTCATTCAATGACATCTGTTTTTTGCACAATTATTATGTGCCAGGCACTGTGCTAACTTGCAGGGACACACAGATGACTCTAACAGGCATGCTGTCTGCTTTCCATTTAATTTGGTTTTTACTATAAATAAAATTGAGGAATTCAGTTAGTCAGTTAGATGTGAATATATTTATGATATATCTTTCCTGTAAGTTGGTCTGCAAATTGTGGCTTAGTTTCACTAAGGAACCATTAGCTTGGGGAATCTCTATACATGTGAAAGAGATAAAAATGGTACTGCTGGGTGGCAGCAGCTACACAACTGAAGGAAGTTAATTAGTGCCTAATTGCTAGCAGCTTACAATTGTCCCCCTCCTCTTTTTTTCCTGTTTACATTGTGTTTTTCAAATTATGATCTAGTCTTTGAAGTTAGTGTTTGCAGGATTTTTTCCAGTCCATGAATTTGGTTGATAGCCCCATTATTCCACAGATTCTTGTTGGTGAGCATAGGGCTAGAGAAATGTGTGAGGTCAAGGGCAGACTGACTATGGCCAGTAAGTTCAAATTGTGATTCCATCTGGAGTCCATCAATTCTGAAATTCTGAAGGACTGCACATACTGTAGGGATGTTGCAGATAATCTTCAGGGGATAAGGGGGAAAAATGAACAGTTCTTTCTCTTTGGAATTTATTGAAATGCACATTTATTCATTCCCATCTTCCTAAAATGTTTCTCGTGTCTAGCTATTGACATGGAATTGCTGCAAAGATTCAAGCAACTCTCAGAATTTTTGTCCAAACTTGGTGTCTTCCAACATAGTCTGCCAGAAAAGGCCTGGCATCTCTCCCAGCAAGAATCCCACTGGTAGGCTCTGTAGTTCAGATATCAAAGTAAAAATAAGCCAGTTACCCAAACCAGGATGCAGAGAGCTAAGAGGTCATTGAGCAAATACAGCCTGGATATAGGGTGCTACTCAGGGTCATGAAATAAGTCTGTGTGCAACACACAGATGGGATGACATCATACCACAGGAGGTGAGAAATTTACCATTCCCTTAGAACATTCCTGCTGATTGCTGGGCATGGTGGCTCACGCCTATAATCCCAATGCTTTGGGAGGCAGAGGCCGGTGGATCACCTGAGTTTGAGAGTTTGAGACCAGCCTGACCAACACGGAGAAACTCCGTCTCTACTAAAAATACAAAACTTAGCCAGGCGTGGTGGCATATGCCTGTAATCCCAGCTACTCAGGAGGCTGAGGCAGGAGAATCACTTGAACCTGGGAGGTGGAGGTTGCAGTGAGCCAAGATCATGCCACTGCACTCCAGCCTGGGCAACAAGAGTGAAACTCCTCACAAAAAAAAAATAAATAAATAAAATTAAATTAAAAAAAAAAAAGAATAATGCTGCTGATAAGATACTTAGAAAGAACATGAACAAATTCAGAGGAGCAAAATTAGATTTCCACCAAATAACAGTTGAATAAAAATGGTCAAAATGAATTAGCCTTTACTTAATCAGGTTAAATAATGATATAATAGATCTCACTATAGTTACTTCAACTGCTAATTTTTTAATTCCTAGAAAAACCTCCTTACTTTAATGAAATAGTTTCAATGGAGCAAGAACATGGAAGTGAAGAACCACAGTTCAACTCCATCAACGGAGTAACATCATTTGCCAACTAACAAACTGAATCTACATCTCTTTATTTGCAATGTAAAACCCCATTTGGATAGGAAAAATACATAGTACTAATGTTGGATTTATAAGTCCGGAGTTCAATTTTAGGTTTTGGAGAGAAGAATCCATTTTTACTTGAGATTTCCAATCTCATATCACCACCATCATCATTATCACCATTATCATCACCACCACCACCATGAGCAACCAACACCATCATCATCAAGAACAACTTGCTTTTGATAGCCAAAGCATTGGGAACACAGCACTCTAGTAAGTGGCAAGGTATTAATTTGCTTTTTATTTTTTAATTATAACAAAAGCAAAATATATGTTTTTGTAATTTCCTATCAATAATTTAGAAGAATTAAATATAAATATAAAATAAAAACCAACACTACTTTAAGAATTGGGTATCTTAATACACTATTAATGGTAAGATTAGCAAAAATGAAGTGTAAGAGGCCATGAAAACAGCTATCTCACTGCCTACAAAGACTAGGCAAGAAAAAATCTCACCTAATTCTCTTGGAAACTGCCAACACTATCTTCAAGCTCGGGAGACATATCTCCTGTCAGCTGGGTCTGATTTGTTGCTCTTAAGCCTCCGGTAGGAAATTTCTCAGAGAAAATATCTAAGGACTTTTTCTTCAAGGTTATTTAATTACCACCAACAAATTAATTAGATAATGCAAATGATTTAATTACCTAAGTCACAATTAGCAATATTTGTCACCACTAGTATATTTAGAATACTTGGGCAAATTTCTATGTGTTTTCATTTTTTCAGCCAACAAACATTACTGAGTACTGACTATGTTTCAGACACTTTATGTCTTCAAAGATCTCACAGACACTATAAAGTATATTATGCAAAATTAGGAACTAAATCTCTTTCTAGTAGTCAGTTCATTGAAATAGGAAAGTAGTGCTTTCCTTCCGTCAGTGCCTATTACATGCCAGGTATCTAACTCTAGACCAATCATTTATTTTCCACACTAACACTATGTAGTAAGTGTTACTGCCATTTTACAAACAAACTATGACTCAAAATGGTTAAATAATTTGCCCAGTCACTCAAAGGTGGAGCTGGAATTCAAATGCAGACATTGCTTGCTCCATGGTTTCTGTCCGTAACTTAATGGGAAATAATAGTACCTACCTCATGGCATTATTATGGATTAGCTAGGTTAATATACATAAAACACTTAGAACAATGCCTGGCATGTAGTAGGCATGATGTAACTTTTGCTATTATTAGTAGTATTCCTCTATATAGCAAAGTGTGACAAAGAATGACCAAATAAAGTACTATAGCATTTAAAATACATCTGTGCATATGTACTATCTAGATATTTACAAATGAAAGTTGATCAACACAATCCTCACACTTACATACTCCATTTAGATTATATACCCTATTTCAGCCTGTGCACGGTGGCTCACGCCTGTAATCCCAGCATTTTGGGAGGCCAAGGTGAGAGGATCACTTGAACCCAGGAGTTCAAGACCAGCCTGAGCAACAGGGTAAAAACCTCTCTCTACTAAAAATACAAAAATTAGCCTGGCGTAGTGGTGCACACCTGTAGTGCCAGCTACTACTTGGCAGACTGAGGTAGGAGGATCACCTCGGCCCAGGAGGCAGAGGTTGCAGTGAGCTGAAGGTTGCAGTGAGCCAAAAGTTGCAGTGAGCCAAGATCGCACCACTGAACTCCAGCTTAGATGTGAATGAGACCCTGTCTCAAAAAAAAAGATTATATATCCTATTTAAAAACAATATTTGTTATATCTTATTTAATTCTTCTGAAATCTGAACTATTTCTAGATACTTAAAATTTACTACAAATTTCAATAAAATAGATAAAATTAGATTTTTTCCTCTGTTTTACTGATGGAAAAAGCGTGCTACTTACCATGTCACGTGGCACATGTAAAAAGAGTATGATAATATAATGAGCATGTGGTTATAATATTATTTTCATACTTAGTGAAGTAATTCTCATCATTAAATACTGACTTCATCAACCATCTTGAGAAATATTTCCTTTTTTGTTGCAATGTTCTCTCTGGTGACATGGCCTAATTAATGACAGACATCTACCCTTTCCTGATACCACAGAAGACAAATTAATACTTCTAATGTTCATACAGAAATAACATCAAGGAGAAAATGAGGCTTTGTCTGGCACTTTGATTTCTATGTCACAACATGTGATTACGGAGGAGACGTCAGCTACACGCTAAATATACTCAAATTGAACAAGGACTCCTGGGTTGGTC